TTTTCTTTTATTGTATAACAACATGCCCCACCTATAATATCAACTTACCCTGCATCCGGGGGATATTGTTACACTTGACTTTACTTCAAAATATTTACAAAATTTTTTATGTAACCAATTTTGTTCAATATAGAATACATAATTTTGATAAAGTACATATTTATCTTTCACTTTCATTCATTTTCAATGTATGATTCGGGTTATTTCGCTAGATATTGGACTTTTTCTAAAAAATCGTAACAACTAGCCCAGGTCTCCCCTACTACACAGCATTTCTTGTAAACGTAAACTCTAGGCCGGACGTGGCTTTGTGGTTAGCTTCCCGGACTGTGGATTCAGATATTCATGTTTCGCGACCCGTTGCCGCAAAAAACGGCGCTCTGCACTTTGGAGTCGAGGGCGATTCATAAGAATGACGGTCAAATCGCACTATTCGACAAGTCAAGACTCTAGTCTATCATTTCAAATTAAAGATGTCTATGCACAGATATGGCCCTGTTTTTATAGGTTTGTGTGAAACTGTCAAATAAGCACACATATAGTATACCCCTAAGGTTCAACATTTTGTATAGTATTGCATATCACTTTAACTCCAAAGAACCAGAAGGTAACTTTTCAAATAAGGCAGTCTTCAGTATTCCTCAAGGAATCGGACAAACTTACATTGCAACGAGCTTCAAACTGCTCCCCCCTCAAGCCAATCCCGATCAATCTCTTCAACCGCAAAGCGAAAATCGTACTTACGAAAGAGAACCCTCCTTCCAAAAACTGTATTAATATGAAACTGGGCATATCTCCCAGTCACGTTAAAAATATAATATACATAGATTTAAAGTTGACGAAGGCTCAAAAACCAAACGTTCACAAATTTCCAGCCGCACCACAGAATAAACGACTGTTTATGGTATAGATGGACAAAGAAACTAGAACAGCAGTTTCATGGACAATATACTGAGTCACTTCTACTGTTCAGACGATTTCATTCAGGAAACTATTAGACGTAGTGTTGTGAAACTCGATGTGTAGACCAATTTAACCATGCGGAAAACAACGAACATATTGTAGTTACTTTTTAAAACGTGCTTGAATATAGTGACCGGGGCCCGGCATGGCCAGGTGGTTAAGGCGCTCGACTCACAATCTGCGGGTCGCGGGTTCGAATCCGCGTTCACACCAAACATGCTCGCCCTTTCAGCCGTGAGGGCGTTATAATGTGACGGACAATCCCACTATTCGTTGGTAAAAGAGTAGCCCAAGAGTTGGCGGTGGTTGGTGATGACTAGCTGCTTTCCCTCTAGTCTTACACTGCTAAATTAGGGACGGCTAGCGCAGATAGCCCTCGTGTAGCTTTGCGCGAAATTCAAAACAAACAAACAATATAGTGACGGTATGTTATCGTTTTGGGGTGACATATGGTGTTTCTGGAATTTGCGGTGTCTCTAGTATACTATATGTATTTATTTGGACGACGGCTTTTATACTAAAGGTACAATGTCGTATGACCATGATGTCATCATAACACACCACACAACTCTGTATGTGTTTCTCTGCCAAGATATGTACTCACTGTTCTAAGTTTTGTTTTATAATGATTAGAGTGATATTATACAATACTGCATAAACATGGTCATCAGACTGAGATTTTTCAGTGATTGAGGATGTGGTCTCAAGAGCAGCACGTGGCCTGAAACATCTTTCTTTGAAATGCGATTAAACCTCACTATTTATGCTTATTTTCACTTATTTTTATCTTTGAAAACCACATATTTAACCTAACTTTTTAATATTTCTTGTTATTTTTAGAAGTCTTTATACGTAATAACCATAAACTGTTGCTATTACTTTAACATTTCTGAATATTTTCATGTAGCTGTTCTTAGAATAAAACAAAATTTATCTTTTACTTTAACAATTTTAGTAACTTTCTCGTATCCTTATTCGTAATGAAAACATTCGTTTATGTCAATATTTTAGCTTTTACTATATGTATATTGTTTTGATATTCATGTTAGCTTTTACTATATGTATATTGTTTTGATATCCATGTTAGCTTTCATTATATATATTACTTTGATATTCATGTTAGCTTTCACTATATATATTACTTTGATATTCATGTTAGCTTTCACTATATATATTATTTTGATATTCATGTTAGCTTTCATTATATATAATACTTTGATGTTCATGTTAGCTTTCATTATATATAATAC